CTGACAGAATGACTGATATTGTGTTATCACAAGAGCAAAACAAATCATATGGGCGCTGTTTATATTACTATTTTAAGCTCACTCTATTCTTCCCGAATCAAAGAGAGCATTTGCATTTAAAGAGACATAGCCGGTTTCGCTAGTACGTAGTTCGTAAGTCCCTCTTTTCTGAACAATTAAACCTTACGCGAATGATCATACCGTTATCTTTTAACTCTTGCCCATTCTCGTCTGATATTACTAACTTCGTCAAATGTTGTAGTTCGAACAATACGAAGCAAGTCGAAGCGACGACAAACGACCTCGAAAACTAACTTACGAAATATGGATGCGACGCCTGGAGACCTAAGCCTATCAAGCGTCCCCATGCAGCCCCGATCAACAGCGACGGGATGAAAATGCCGGATGGCACCGAAATACCGTAAGTCCACACAGCGAGAAGGTAGTATGCCAATGCATAGACAAACAGCGTCAATGAACTAACGTATTCTGAGAAAAGACAACGAACTGGTTGCTGAACAGTAAGACGAAGCGAAGTTTACCTGCGGAATTCTGAAACAATGCCTTCACTGTTTCTTCGGGTGTCTGGAAGTACAGTTCGGCGACCGCGCTGTAGTAACCATCAGCGCACCAGAGCTAAACAAATGCACTGAAGGTAAACATAAATTACAAGAGGGAGTGAAAAACTACACTCGTCATGGTAACAGCTGTTTACATGTAGTTAATTTCAAGGATTAATTGGCCAGCAAATAAAATTTTTCCATATCTATTTTAATAAACTTAAATCGTTACCTGGGTCACCACGGAAGAATTATGGTCAAATTTCAATGGCTGACAATCGTCGATGAGGAATATTGCTCCAAAACCGACTAGAGCGGAAACGGACGCGATTAGCATGGCATCAAACACTTTTTGCCAGGCTCTTCTCATGTACCTTCAACAACGAACATATTTAAAGCAGGGGTTCTGAAAAAAGCGACAACTCATCCAAAACGGAAATTTAAGTCATAATGCAGTTGGATATAATGCACTAGGTGCCCAGATCATCATTTAATCAAGCATCAACTATGTGGTATTTGATCAAGATCGTTATTTGGGGAAGTCGTGTTCTTCCAATAAATCAAAACGAACTGAACATGGCTCGAAAAGTAGTTACCCAAACAGACAAGGAATCGATATTGACAGGAAAATCTACCAAAATACACAATCTCTAAACGTCAGAATAAAAGGAATCATTTCCCAGGAAAAGATGTGAGCTAAGGTCATTTTCCATAAAAGCACGTCAACGGGTATAGGACTGATTTCAGTTCATCAACTAAATATATCAATTATTGAAATAAACAAGATTCAGTGACTCGATAAATAATTTAATTAATCACAGTAAGTCATCATATCATATCAGGCACTTCTCATGCTGAAGTGAGAGCGTGGAAGATGGATGTAGGAGTCTGCTCCCGTAAGTTGGGACAGTGGTTGTCGAAACTCTCAAATGATATTTGTACATTACAAAAACCTCACAAAGTGCTCAATTTTTTGAATCGGTTAGGTCGGATGAAGGTACGGAAAGCCATGGTAAGAACTGACAATGGTTGGCATCCCCAATGGACCATTCATCAAAACATATTCGAGAAGAGAAAAGGTTGGAGAAACACTGAGGTGTGTTTATGGCACGCTGACAATGACGACAAGTCCGATGAAGGGTAGGGTTATAAACTTGTTTTTGTAAACTTTCCTTCAGCTACATTCCTTAAATATGGATACAGTAC